TGAGCAAAAAATTCCGACCGGATTTTGGCAAAAAAAGTCAGTTTTGATTTCGTTCAAAAAATATAATATGTCCGTTTTGACGAAATGGCTGTTTCATCATCGTCGACTCCCACATCGTCGAAGTCACAATCCACAATAAAAAAAAAAACTGTCCCCTATGGCAGCATAGTCGCCACCGGAGTCGACATCGTCATCGATATCGACACGCCCATCCCCGTCTCGCATAAAGAGATTATGGGGCAACGGAGGCGGCGAGCACCCCGACCCGACTCCCACGTCAACATCATCGTGGCGAAGAAGACGCCACACCCAATCCGAAACCCTAAGAGAACCGAACACAAAAGTCAGCAAGCGATCGATCGAAGACTCGTCAAATGGCGGATTATGTCGATAGAACCCTGACCTCGCACGAATGGAAGTCCCAGAGGGTCTGCGTGCACGGTACTCGACCGGGTCGCGCCACACGTGAGTATTCCACCGAATCACCGTGATTGTCAACCACGCCTGCATAGACTTCTCGAAGTGTACAAACTTCTTCACGTATATGATCATTGTGCCTTGGAAGGTCTTTACCGTCGACGTGTGGCTGTACTCGGTGTAGTAACACTCGATGTTAGTGCTCCAGTGTTTCCCCAAAAGGGAGACAATCACTCCATACACAGTGTCGTGGCGGGTGTACAAAGGTAAACGGTTGGACCCGCAACCTTCTCACACAAAATTTGCCTTTCCCCAATGCACCTCGTGTGATCTCCTGCCCAGTGACCAGTGATCATCATGATATCCTCATGCAAATTCACAACATCTCCACCCTCATCCCTGCAGAGCTCAGAAGCGCGGAGGAACCACATCCCAACCTCGTGTGCATGAAACTTTGTCACACCAGCAGGATCGATAGTTAAAAGTCGACTGTTCGTCAACATGCCATAAGGGTATATCTTCTTCAGCACAACCCCGACAAAATTCGATTTCTTCAATTTCTTTTCTTTCGCCGTAAGAACACCCACACCAAATCTGTCAAACAGAGCTGTTAGCATGTCCTTCTTCGTGAAATGCATCAACTGAGCTTCTGGCACGCAGTCATGATGGCTACTCAATTTTTTTGCCTCCTTCAACTTCAAGATCTTTTGGAAGTGCCTGTGAATGTTCTTCATTTCATGGTGGCAGTCTTTCTGCCAAGCAATATTCCGATTGCGAAGTTGAGGACCCAACGCTGCATAGTCATCCGTCACAACCGTCCTGATGTGCAACCCCTTCCCAAGCAAGCCTCGTAGCAGGCACAAGACAGTCGGCGCCTCAAGCTGATTGGACGCCTTGCCCTCCGTTTTTGGACGAAGAGTGTGGACACCCAACACAAGGCGAGTCTCGTACTCGATGGCTGTCACACTGCAGTGCTGCACGGACCTTGCCAAGTCGTAGCGCTTATCGATCATGAGAATGACAGACTCACCTCTTTGCATAACCGTTTTGAGGACTAACTCACAATATCGAACATCTTGTCTGCATACCTTCAAATTCCACCCCTCCTGCATATTGGCCTCGGTGTGCATAAACTTATAGAAAGTTGGTTTATGCACATAGGACATGCCCAAAGCAACACATAAGGTATCGAGCAAGGTGTACATCAAACCCGTGGCAGCCGTCGTGTGATACATCTGCTGTTGCAATCGAGATGTGTACACAGTATTTGCAACAAGCGCTGAGTGCCACGTCCATTGACAACGACACTTACAAACGAGCACCAACCGACACAACTGGCCAGGATACACGATGGAATCAACCTCCATGCAACACGCCCCTCCATGCCAAGGGCAGTATAAGTGGAACAACCCCAACAGCTGAAGCAACTTCGCTGGTTCCAGGAAAACGACGTCTGGCCTATTAGGTGCATTCCACAACCCCATCGTATCCATAACCGCATCTTGATCCGGGCTAGGACCACACTAGTCGACACCATCCCTGCAATCAGACCAAACCTGCTGACATGTAGGCGTGGAAGCAAGGCGGCCTGCACTACAAGGGCGACCACGAGCCCTGTTACCGCGCTGTGAACTACGCCCCGATCTCGAGAAAGAACTCTGTGAGTCGTCAAATGATTCCCCGAATGCAAACCCGTCAAAAGCTGAATCAACCCCAACATCAACGTCACCTCCCGATCCGGTGATAACATCGCCCAATCGAAAATCATGATCGCAAACACGTGTGGGCAATGACGCTGAAAGAGCATCTGCAATGACATTGCCGAACTCTTTCTTGATCGTCGACAAAGACCAATGCAACAAACGATTGACGATATGAGCGATGGGTCCACGGGCACCGCTCACGACAGTCATGGCATCACGCACCTTGTGAAGTCTGTTATGAGTACTTGCTTTTACGCACAATCGCACGACGTCTGCCGAGGCTGAAGACTGCGCAACACCATCGTCATTTCTAAAACCAATGTCGTTCGAGCAATTAGGAGCGGCAACGGACGCAGAACAAGAAAGTAAAGGGGAATGTCCTCGACTCGTAGCCGTGTGGACGAATCCAACACGGGAAGGATCCACATGGGCAACATCATGAAGGACCCCCTCCAAATCGGCAACATCGCAAGACTGTGTTTGCCGGGGAAGGTGTGTCCACACTGGAGCCGAAGGGACGTTACATCCGTAGTCCAACCGTCGAGGTCGCAGAGGGGACGACAACAATGGAGCGCCAAGCACACCATCATGCGTGGCAGCATCCGAAAATGCAATGAACCTTGCGGAGAACAGCCCAACGACCCAGACAACGAAGAACGGTCCAACAGTCTCCCCGGAGACATGTTGAGAGAAGTTGGCGAACCTTCAACACGGGGTCTTTTCCCCAAACGCCCTCCATTACACCTTCTGTAAGGTGACCCTCCCAATAATCTATGCTCAACAGCAACACAGTGAACATCCTGGTTGCGTTGCAAAGGCGTCCCATCAGGAACATGCAAGGATGTTATGGACCGATTGGCGGAAGGCGGACTCTTACTCCCCGATATTGTGAATGGAAGGGATTTGCACGAAAAGATACGACGAAATCGAGTATGAGGAAGGTTACAATTTTCGATGATGTAACGATATATTGGCTCGTAGACTGACATGTGTCAAGTATAGACTGACTTACTGACTGATTGGTCGAATGACTCATTTATTGACTTACTGATTGATTGATTGATTGATTGGCTGATTGATTGATTGATCGATTGATTGATTGATTCATGGATTCATTCATTGGTTAAGTGACTGATTCTTGGATCGTTAGATTGACTGATCTACCCTGGATATGTCGAGTATATACTGACAGACCAACCAATTGATTGAATGAATCGATCGATTGATTGATTGAATGATTGACCGATTTATCGATCAATTGCCCGACACTGACTGAGTGACCGATCGATAGACTGATTGATTGACCTATTGATAGACTGATTGATTGACCCATTGGTTGACAGACAGATTGACCCATTGATTGACTGACCGATTAACCCATTGATTGATTGATTGATTGATTGATTGATTGATTGGGTGATTGATTTATTGACTAATTGATTGATTAAATGACAAACTTACTGATAGATTGAACGACCGATTGCTGATTTATTGATTGAATTGTTGATTGATTCATTGATTGATAGATTGATTGACTGACTGACTTATTGATTGATTGACTGACTAACTGACTGACTGATTGGTTGACTGATAGACCAATTCATTCACCGACTGACTGATTGTTTGCGTGTGTG